TTTAAGCAAAATATAATGGTTGTAATTTCTTTTTAAATCTTTGAACACACGTACATTACAAAATAAAGTTAATACACTCTGTTATTTAACTGGGTAATTTCAAAATGAATATACTCTTGGATAGTTGCCATAATTGACTGGGTCATATATTTATGTACTTTTTAAATAATGGAGAAGTTATCATTGTTTATATATGAAATATGGATAGCACAGGTCAAATACTGGCTTGGTGAAGGACCAAGCAATGAAAATTACTTTGTGCTTGAATTTCTTTGCAGTGATAAATGTTTGATTAAGTTAAAACACCAAGCTACAGAGAAGTGGAAATTCAAGGATTCAGCAGAAGAAATGATGGTATTTTCCATGGAAGATTAAAAATTATATAATACAATTAAAACATTTTATTAAGGGGAAGGCACACGTTCTAAGAACTGTCCTAGAATCACAATTACGACCATAGGCTTCAGTCACACTAACATTTGACTGGTTCAGTAACTGTTTTTGCTGGGGGCACAGTAAAAAATCTTAATTTCATTTTTTCACTATTTTCAGGGTCAGATATCCCCAGCAGGCCCTGGAGCATTTGCCCACTGACCTGCACTTTTCAGAGGAATGTGAAGGAGCAGTGATAACTAGAAATCTACCGAGCTTTGATTCTCACCCTCCATACTCCCCCTGGCAATGCATTTAAGTCCCAACCATAAAAAACTGAATCTCTACTCATGGACTGACATTATGAGAATTATGCCAGCCTGAAGAGAAACTTAATCAATTCTGAAAGAGGAAAGACAGAGTAAAAATGTTATGTGTAAGGTAGTCGGCGTTTGTGAGAACATCTTGCATTTGTGTACACTTGTTTATAAAATATGTTACATAGATTACCTCATTTGATACTCCCACCACTTTGTGAGGTAGAGTCGAGTATTTTTAGCCTTTCTGACAAATTATAATTTTTTCCTTAATTAGCATAAGAGGAAACATCAGGGGGTTATGGTGTTACATAATAACCCTGTATAAAATGGGATGAGCTCCCCAAACAATCCTCCTGGTATCATTTCTACATCTTCCCACCACTGCTAATGTGAGCAGGGAGTCAAGTTATGGTACTGAGATGGCAGTTCTGAGCATGTAAATGTGCAAGATTCCCTTCCCCATTCCTTGCCTCACACTTCAGAGAAGTTGCCACATATTTAGCACTCTACTTTCCTTTACTCAGCAGCTTCCTTTTAAAGCTGACCATCTGGGGAGGAACCTGCCTTCCAGTGAGTAACATGGGCACACTTGACCACTGTCATTCCACGCCTGTTCTCCCAGCTTTGTGGAAGAGCCAGAGGAAATGAGAACAAGAGCAAGTATAGAGGCTGGTCATGTTTCCCTTTCTGGGATTTGGTTTCCTTGTATTTAAAATGAGGGTCTAGGACACAATAAATCTCCGAGATCCATGCCAATTCAAACATGAAAGTTTTGCAGTTTGTTAAAAAATATTTGTAAGTCAATCTTTCTTACAAAACTTATCTGTAAGGCCACTGGAGAGTCTTTAATGGTTCCATTAATTTATACTTTCACTGCCAATGAACATTTTGATCCAAACTCACATCTAAACAATACCCCAGCTATTATCACAGCCTTGTAAAGAGCATCTGAAATGCTAGTAGAGACAACCCTTACCTATAAATGACTCAGGAATATGAACAGCATGTGCAAATGCCCCTTCCTCCCTTTGTCTCCTCACCTCTGGAACCCCTGGTGCTCCTGCCAAAAAGCCACTCTGGGCAGGCAAAAAGCTTTAGAGAAATTGGAGGTTCAGAAGTAAAGAAAGGAAAGATACTGTGAAAAAGGAAATGCAGCATGGAGCTGACCAGGGACAGGTACGCAGAATGAGCTGACCTTCACCAGCCCAAAAATATCTTTCCCCTACTGTGCCTGAAGTTTTGACTTCACTTTGGCATGCTGACTGAAATCGCATCACTGAGACATGCTTTCTGGATAATAAGCAGGTTTTTTTTTTTTTTTTTTTTTTTTTTTAATGCAACTAACTTGAGGAGATTTCAGAGACTGTCAAGCCTTCATGCATTTGTGTGAATTCGTTGTTTTCCTCCTAACACCCAGCCAAGATCAACAATCCTGAGTTAATTAGAGTTTTGAACAGCTCGAAAGGAAAGGCAGGTAATTTCGGTGAAAGATAATTTGAGAGAATGTGCTAATTTTGGCTAATGTTGATGGAGAAGTTTAAAAAGTCTGTAAATTAGGGCACTAGAAAGTGGAGGAGTTGCAGAAAGTTCCTACCTAAGAAAGCAGGTACTGGCCACTTTGCCAGATGCTTCATGCTTTTGAGAGTTATGTAACATTATTTCTTTTACAGATAAGGAAACTGAGGCTCACAGAGATAAAGGAACTTGCCCGGGTCAGGGTCAGATCATGTTACTGCCAGCATTTTCCACTGCTTTCCTGCTTACTCTCTTTCTTACCCTCCTCCTTTCTGTTTTCTTACCATCCTCTTCCTCGCTGCTACTAGGACTTAAATGAAGAGGAAAATGTCATTCAGCTGCAATTTCTGTGATCCAACCTGGAAAAAAAAATATGTTTTGGGTTCCAAATAGTCAGTTTATAAATGAGCTATTGGGATACAATTGTTCTTAAGTTGAATAATTCATACACTCTTGATTTTTTTCCAACTACATAATTAATTGATGAAAACTGTTGAGATAATTCCTTGTTTGGAATCTTGTCTAATTATTACACAGTACCATAGTCATGCTAGACTACAAACTCTTCTAGTAGGAACTTTCCTGCATCCATCATACTAGGAATTCAGAAAATGAATGAATAAATAAATGTGAATAAATAAAATCTAATCAAAACGGCCTACTCAATAATACAGTTGTAGGCAGTTATTTTCATACTGGACACCACAGAAAACCACGGGCTAGTGCTGGCTCTGACTGCCAACAAAAGACCGGTCAAAAGCAGCTACGGTGGCATCAGTTATATGGCTTAGAATGGACAGTCTCAAAATAGTTAAACTTGAAATTTTAAGGGCATTGGCAATTTTCAGAATCAGAATAATGCATAGAGGGGGCGCCCGGGTGGCTCAGTGGTTGAGCGTCTGCCTTCGGCTCAGGTCATGGTCTCAGGATCCTGGGATCAAGCCCCACGTCGGGCTCCTTGCTTGGTGGGAAGCCTGCTTCTCCCTCTCCCACTCCCCCTGCTTGTGTTCCCTCTCTTGCTGTGTCTCTCTCTGTCAAATAAATAAATAAAATCTTTTAAAAAATTTTTTAAAAAAGAATAATGCATAGAGGGTACATTGTATCATAAGTCATGAATAAAAAACCCCACAGTCACATGGAGTTCAGTAGCTGGAATGGAAAGTACCATTGTGGAGCATTTTAGGAGCAAAAGCTTGAATCTTCCTCTATTTCCATGATCAATCTTTGGTTCAATCTAAGGGAAAACATTGACCACTAGTTAATGATAGATCTTTTGTAAATTGAGCTATCTGAAGCAACAGATCAAAAAAAAATTACTTAATAAGGCAATATCTGCAGTAACATCATTATCTCCAGGGTATGCTATAAATGTGGGAGAACAAGACAAATATGATTTGAACCATGATCTCCTTGCCTGAAGGAAGGGGCAAAGATGCCCTATCAGACAATAGGAACTGGATGCAGGGGAAAGGATTCAGGAAACTTGGCAGCACTAAATGCAGTTAGTTAGGAGCTATGCGATAAAACCGCTTAGGTTCAAACCCCACACCCACCACATCCTACCTGTGCAGCCTGGGCAAGTTATCTAAACTTCCTTCATTTCAAAATGGGGGCTGATAATAATAGTACACACTGTAGGGAGGAATCCTGAGACCTAAATTAGTTAATATGTTTAAAGTACTTAGAAAAGTGCTTGGCATAGAGTAAGCCCTCAATCAACGTTAGCTTTTCACTCCATGCCTCAGTATGTGTAAGACCTTAGTGAACTCCCTGCTTCTCCGGATCTCATTTGCCTCATCAAGATGATACAGTGAGTCAGCACTGAGCCCAGGCCATGCTCTCCAAGCAGAATTAGTGACGCTTTCGGGGGAGTAGGCACTCACCTTTGTACCCCTCAAAATCATAGCATAGAATTAAAGTGGGGGAGATTACAAAGTTCACTGCAAGCTTTTCCCAGTTAACAAAGGAGGTTTCTGAACTGCTGCTCAAGTTCAATGACATGAAATCTACTACTACCTTGTGGCCAGCCCGCCCCCTTAGCTTAAAGATGTGAAGTCTAGGCGAAACATTGCCCACGGAATTGGAAATTTAAGCTTTTGCTCCTAAGAAGTTCTAAAATGGTATCAGTTAATCAACGCCTCAGCTACTCTATTGTAATGACTGACGTGTGGCAGTATTTTTTTAATTCATGATTTATGATTCAGTGCACCTGCTACAAGTTATTCTGATCCTGAAATTTTCTATGCCCTTAAAATTCCAAATTTGACTCTCCTTCTTTGCCTCAGTAATGTCCTTCCCTGAAAGCATTCCTTTGCATACCCATGAATTTCACCTCCAGTCACAATTCGTTGCCCTAACAGTCACTCCAGAGGCTGAGTCTGTCATAACCTCTTTATGTAGAACTCTCCCATCAGCATTTGAGCCCAGAAAACTCCAGGCACAATTGCCTTCTGGGGATCTAAATCAGGTTATGGTAATGTGACAGCTCATTCAATATCCTGTAACTCCCCTGCCTCTCGCCATCAACTCCCATTCACAAATTCATATTTTATAGAAAAACTTTAAATGAAAGCTTAGATTAAGCAAAGATTGTAGTTTGTTCCAGATACCTGCCGGGATTTACATACTCCATGGAGGAATCTGACTAATTCTAAACAGCAATTAAACACATTCAACATTGCTTAAAAGGTTGGGTTTGTCAGAGAAGGCAGTCTGACTGCATACAAAGGACAGTGGTCTGGAATTTGAATGAGGCACCAATAGATTTCAAGTTTCAAACTTACTTTGAACTCCATGGTTAATGCCACAGCTCTTTTGGTTCAGGAAGAAAATGTCTATGTTGAGAGCATGTTCAGGTAGATCATACTTTTGAGAATCTTGGAATATTCGACTATGGAAAGAGTATGGTACATGGGCTAGCAGCTGAGTGGAAGTCAAAAGCTTGAATCAATGAGTTTTGCTGTTAAACCACTGAAATGGCTATGTGTTCTTGGACAAGCCACACTCTCAGAGCAATCATTGTTCTCATTTATGAAATGAGGGCAGGGCAAGATGGCTCCTAAATCTCGACCCATGATCCTATACTGAAAGGCTTTTCCATGTACATTCAGCAGCCAAACCCAACTGGCAAATCCTAAAGAGCCAGAGTCTAAATGTAATTCTCCTAGTGAAACTGGCTCATGCTGATGGTTCTATACTTGTCCAGTCTCTTTGGAAGTATATTTATAAGATCTTATCCTAATACCAAATTGATATAAATTATATTTTTCCTTTTATAGGAGTAATGAGATAGGTTTTCAGTTTTGAAAACATGTCTATAGGTCATATCTGAATGTGAACTTACTAGTTGGATCAAGAACAAAGATTGTTTTTGCCCAAGTCAGTAGAACTTGTCCTAAACTTGTTTTTAAATTCTCACTTATGAAATCATGGTTTCACATAGAAAGACACTAAATAAGAGCACAGGCTAACTCTAGAAAATCTAATCCCAGTTCTACATCCCAGATAAGTGGTCTTATGTCTGTTACTTAGCTTCCCAATAGTAAATAGAGAAGTAGAAGTGGTCTTTAACATATATTCCTGCTATAAAATTCTGTTATTCAGGAAAATAAATTCCCCTCATTTCAGCCTAAACTCTTATGGGAAAAAAATCTCATGTGGGAAAAATGAGTGTCAGGTAGATAAAAAGCTATCTATACATACTTGTTTAATATAAAACAAGTGAAACAGAAGTACCCACTGAATTCTACTGCACTCAAATTTATTATGAGCATGAGGAAGAACAGAAGATTTCAGGGGAAGATTATAAACATGTACCATTGTCTTTTCTGGCAACTCCTTAACTAGTCACTTATAAATCCACATTAGGAGTGAGTTTATACCTCCCACAACAAACTCAGATGGCTTATATGCCATGTTTTCAGCTAAACAGAATATTTTTTAAATTATATCATGTTTTTTGCACTATCACAAGATGAGTCCTGTAGCTATATCCTTTGAGATTTTCAGTTGCCACAAATGTACCTACTCTCATGCATGGCTAAAAGATTCCAGAAAGCTTATTATTGTGTTTGGGATTGTTCGAGAAAAGACAGGCATTAAAGAAGCTGCCCAAATCAGGACTGTAGCCAGAGAAATCTCAGCGATTTCAGAACTGATGTGTTTTACAGTGTGGTTAAAAGGTAATCTCCCAAGATACTAAAAGCTGTTGCGTAATCTAGGGAGAAATGTTAACGGGCTGTGTGACCTTGAGCGAGTCCCTTAGTTTCCTATTTATAAAAACAGGAACCTAAATCAGATATCTTTTCCAGCTCTAAAATTCTATACCTCTGAGTCTAAGAATTAATGCTTTCTTGCAGATGAAGTTAATCCTGACACAGACGATACAGTGTAGTTCAGATATAACCCAAACAAAATCACATCTCCCCAGCACAGAAACGTCAAGAGCAAGCAGGATTTACATGGGAATTAGATCTAGCCTCAGATTTCAACATTATTATGGGTTCTCATCAGAGTGCCCTGAATTATTCTCCACCCTGTTCAACCGTGCAGTAAATCTTCGGATGTGAGATCAGTGCTAGCTCAGATAAATAAATGAATCAATGTTAAGCAAATGTCGTAAATCATCAGCTTCCCTCACCTCAGTCTCCCTTCCCTGCCAAATTCCTATGGAAACAAACAAACAAAAAAGTCAGAGGAGAAAGGAAAGCAGAAAATATTTTTGGCCTACTACATGATTTGTGTGACCAAGATTGCCCTACATTTTGTCAGCATGGCCTCCACCTGCCCTCCCACCTAGCAGAACTATTTTCAGCACATAGGCCAATGCTTATTTTTGTAGATGTATTAAGCCATATCTCCTGTTATGCAGTTTTTGTTAAGGAAGTTATTCCTTAAGCCCATCCAGCTGTTTTCTCAATTGTACCTTTAGGAATAAGGGGACAGGAAGCCTGAGAAGACATAGCTAATTCAGCACTACCCCTCACAACTACAACCCAAGAAAAATATCTCACAGGAACTTACCTTGTTACTAGCAGATCAGCAGCACATCCTTGCATAAAGGACAGTCATCTCAGTTTCTTCACTTGGCCATTGTTAGGTTAAGTCTTGGATAATTACTTTTCTCATTCTAATTTAATTTGCATTAAGCCCAGTGTGTTTAGTTTTTGAGACCTAACACTCAAATCTGGCAGACATTGGCCTGTGATTAGGAATGCAAGACTCCTGGGAAAACATCTGGTCTCATTCTGAATAAATGCCTGAATTCACTATATTCTCATCTGAGAACTCTCTGAAAGCCCTTCCTAATGAAGTATATGCTGTACATACACTATTTTAATATAAAAATAGATTAACAAATGACCACTGAGAGAACGATGAATAGGAGAATGTTTGATACCTTAATATGAATTAATCATTAAAATCATTCATAAAATTATCCTATTATTTTATTTTATTTTTTTTATTTTTTAAAAGATTTTATTTATTTGCGAGAGAGAGAATGAGAGACAGGGAGCATGAGAGGGAGGAGGGTCAGAGGGAGAAGCAGACTCCCCGCCAAGCAGGGAGCCCGATGTGGGACTCGATCCCGGGACTCCAGGATCATGACCTGAGCTGAAGGCAGTCGCTTAACCAACTGAGCCCCCCAGGTGCCCTATCCTATTATTTTAAAGAACCACATGCCAACTCAAGGCATTCCAATTTGACAAATAATTTTGAATGGATTGCAGGCATTTTTAGCTTTCTCCTTTATCCTCATGTTGTCATACTGCAAAGTGCAAAGTGCTGAATAACATTTTTATATATAGTACCTATCATGTGGCTACTAAGGGATGCAAAACATAATAAAAAAACTATAAGGATATTTAGCTATAAATTAACTAATAGGCATCTGATACTGTTAGATTTTCACTAACATACAAACGTGCACACATATGTACCGATATACATGCGTATGCATATGCATACAAATACATGTGTGTACATATACACTGGACAATAAACTGGGAGTGTTTTCATTTTAATTTATGGCCAGTATTTGAGGAACAACATTTTTTTCCAAACATCGATGGATTTCTAGCTAAAGTCTTAAGAATACTGTGTGTCTACCTTCTTTATTGTAAACAGAATCTCCAAGAAAAAACTAACTTAATTCTAACGATTTATCTTTGTTTAAGTGCTAGAAAGCTGAGAGACTGCACACTTAAGTTGATAAAATGTTGCTGAAGCATCCAATGTAAGTGGATATGGAGTTCAGCTGAATTTAATGAGAGCAAGAATGATATGACCTTTGTATTTCTGCATTTTCTCCTTCAGAAGTTTTGACCCCCAAACAGCACTTGACATTTGTGGTGTGAGAAAATACAAATGGCCCAAAGCACTGTGTGTCACACTCAAGGCCTTAGCCTTCTATCTTGATTCAATAATTCTCATGAGTTAACATTAGTTTTATTCTAATCTGGCACAGACAATTGGCTGGTATTTTATTTTTTGTAATACATAAATATAGTAATATTGTTTCACCCCATTATTATTTTTCACTAATTGTCCATAGCAAGTAGTTCCACTGAATAACATATTCTCCTTTTCCAGCCCTCCTGAAAATATTTAAAATTTATAAAAATATCTTATTAACGGAAGAACCAAGCCACAATATTCTAATATTTAATCTGAACTGCAAAGAATCACTGAAAATTCCTGGATTATATTAGCTCATAAAAGTCACACCACCTCACCAGATAGGATCCCTGAATTATGTGATCCTGGTGACACACTCCCAGTTTCCTCATTTTCTGAGATTTGCCTGAACTCCCTGAAATTTATCCTCTTCACAAGGCTCTCTGAACACCTCAGTGGTACACATCCCTCAATCCTTCCCCTCCCTCACCCAAATCCCACCAATGTCTAGGGTTTGCTAAAAATCTCTTCTCTATGGAACATATTTGTAATAATTTCGACCTGGTGGTTCCATTACAAGCATTTCAATGCCAGGGGCTCTTTGACATTGTCATAGGCTATTTTGACCCTCAACATTTTGATACAACCTAAAAAAATAAAATAGGACATTAAAAGATAAGCTTTTATACTCGTAACTTAGGTGCAAAGCCATTCTGCCCCTGAGTCTTATCTGTTTCAGACCTGCAGCCTGTAAGGTGGGCATCAGCAAAGAAATGTGGGTCAAGAATGCAGATTCAGAGATGGGACAGAGGTTGGTCAGACCAAGTACAGAGGACTGAGAGCTATGTTCAATGATAATGTCTCACCCCCAAATCAGACAACCAGCCACTCTGAGCAAACTATCTGCCTTTTCTCTGAGAAGTCATCTATATTTTAAAAGCTCTATATCACAGCTTCTCAGATTGCTCCTTTATATTCAACAATACATAATTAGAGAGAATGATATAAAAGCAAAAAAGCCATTCAGGTTGTACAAGAAATCTGCAATTACATTTCTCTTAATAATATAACTCATATATAGAACATCTTTTACTATGGAGAATAGGACCAATAGCTCAGCTGGAGGCAAATCCACTTTAAAAATGAGATTTCACTTCTGGCATGACAGCATGAGACCCACTCCCCAGAAAAACTGGTCAAAATTATTAAATATATGTTAAATTATTAAAATTATAAAATGTATATTAATAATTTATATATTTAATTTACATTAAATATATACTACATATAATATGTTTTGATATAGATATACATATAGATATACACATACATACTAGAGTCTTGACTGCCCTGTCTCAGCAGGAAAGATAGAGATTTTATATCCAAAGAGGCAAGAAGACCTGAGGATATTTTCCTGCCTCCTGCAACTGAGCACTAAGTTCCTACACAGAGAGAAGCCTGGCCTTGTCTCATCCCCAAGTCCTAAGTCTTGGCTCAGAGATTTTTGCCTGGGAAGCCATAAAAAACTATTCTCTTCTGAAAGAACTGACTTCACTTGCAACAGAGTGCAAAGAAGTTAAAGCCTAAGGACACTCAAAAACAGCAGCGGTTGGGCGCCTGGGTGGCTCAGTTGGTTAAGCAACTGCCTTCGGCTCAGGTCATGATCCTGGAGTCCCGGGATCGAGTCCCGCATCGGGCTCCCTGCTCGGCAGGGAGTCTGCTTCTCCCTCTGACCCTCCGCCCTCTCATGTGCTCTCTCTCTCTCTCACTCTCTCAAATAAATGAATAAATAAAATCTTTAAAAAAAAAAAAAAAACCAGCAGCGGTTGCTGCAATGGCAATTAGGAAGAAGTTGGTGGTTCATTGACAATAGAAGCTAAACTACAACCTGAGTAGTTTGCAGGAGCAAACTGTGGAAAGACACAGTAGGGAGGAGCTTTCAGGGGGTGGGAATGTATTTTCAATACTTACCAGATAGCAAGGTGTGGTCATGGTAAGAGGCAGTTAAAGAAAACCCTAACAAAACACTGTCATCCCAACATGACCATGGACAAAACTAAGACTGTAACCCTGAGGCACATCATCAGAGGCTTCACACTGAGGGATAGGGGTGGGGCACGGATCTCACCACAATAATGCAGCCATTCATTAAACAAACTAACTAACAAAAAACAGATAAATTAACAAGGTCCCAAAGCCCAAGAGCTGCTACAATATAAGATCTAAAATATCTGAAATGTCCAAATATGCAGGAAAACAGGTATTACCTTTAAACTGGAGGGTAGGCAGGCAATAGAAACTCTCTGTGAGAGTGATTGGGTATTGTCATATTTAACTGACAAAGCATTATAAATATAATCAAAGAATTAAAGGAAAACCACTATTAAAGAAGTAAAGGGAAGTTTGGTTACAATGGTGCCTCAAAAAAGAATATCAATAAGGATATGGAAATTATTTTAAAAGAACCAAATGGAAATTCCAAAAAATTAAAAATATAATAACTGAAATATGAAAAATTTCCTAGAAGGGCTCAACAGCAGATTTGAATTCCAGAAGAAAGAATTCAAAAATTTAAAGATAGATTGAAAGAGATTATGCAATGTGAAGAACAGAGGGAGAGGGGGGAAAAAAAAAAAAGAATCAAGAAAAATGAAGAAGGCCTAAGGAAAATGTGGGACGCCACTAACTGTACCAACACACATTTAATGGAAGTATCAGAAAGAGAAGAGGGGAAGAAAGGAGCAGAAAAAAATATTCAAAGACATAATGGCTGAAAAATCCCCAAATTTATTAAAAAACATAAATGTACATATATGGGAAGCTTGACAAATTCCAAATAGGACAAACAAAAATGATTTGCTTTCATGAATAGTAAATATGCTCAAAACCAAAGACAAGAAAAAAATCCTGAAAGCAGCAAGAGAAAAGTGACTCATCACTAACAAGGGAAACCCAATAGGAATAATAGCTGAGTTCTTATCAATGAAGGCCAGGGGAAGTGGTATACTATATACAAAGCCCTCAAAAAAACAAAACAAAACTGTCAGCCAAGAACCCTATATCCAGCAAAGCTATCTTTCAAATATGAAGTTAAAGACATTGCCATATTAAAAAAACTGAATTTGTTGGGGCACCTGGGTGGCTCAGTTGTTAAGCATTTGCTTTCTGCTCAGGTCATGATCCCAGGGTCCTTGGATCAAGCCCCGCATCGGGCTCCCTGCTCTGCAGGAAGTCTGCTTCTCCCTCTTCCACTCGCCCTGCTTGTGTTCCTGCTCTCACTATCTCTCTCTCTCTGTCAAATAAATAAATAAAATCTTTAAAATAAATAAATAAATAACATAAAATAAATAACATAAAATAAACTGAATTTGTTGCAAAAAAAAAAAAATACTACAAAAATACTAAAGAAAATTCTTCAGGATGAAGGCAAATGATCCCAGAGGGTAAAGACATGAAAAACAAAGAGGACTGATAAAGGTAACTGTGTAATTATAAAACATATGCAAATGCATATGTCTTCTTTTCTTTTCCCAACTAACTTAGAAAACAGTTCTATAAAACAAAATACATATATTTTCAAGCCTACAATATATAGAAATGATATATTTGCAAATAATAGCACAAAGGAAGTAGGTGGGAGCAAAGCTATAGTGGCCTAAGGAATCACTCCAGATAGTTACTCAAATCCACAAGAACAAATCAAGAGATCCAGAAATGATAAGTAAGAAGGGTAATATAACAAAAGCTATAAGTATATACTTGCTCTCCTTACTTCTCCTAGCTTCTTTAAAGAACATAAACCTATATAAAGCAATAATTAAAACAATGTAATGTTGGATTTGTAACTTTTATATAAGTGTAATTTTTATGATAAAAATATCACAGAATGAAGGATGGGAATAGAACTCTATAGAATTAATATTTCTATATTTCGTTGGAATTAAGTTAGTGTAAATTTGAAGCTGATTCTTATATGTTAATATGTTTATGGCAAACCGTAAAGTGACCATTAAGGAAATAAATGTTGGAAATATCGAAAAAAATCATTAAAGGAATTAAAATGCTACATTAGAGAATATTCACTTAAAGAAAAAGAAAGTAGAAAAAGAGCAATAGAGGGTGCCTGGGTGGCTCAGTTGGTTAGGTGACTGCCTTCGGCTCAGGTCATGATTCTGGAGTCCAGGGATCGAGTCCCACATCGGGCTCCCTGCTCAGCGGGGAGTCTGCTTCTCCCTCTGACCCTCCCCCTCTCATGCTCTCTGTCTCCCATTCTCTCTCTCAGATAAATAAATAAAATCTTTAAAAAAAAAAGAAAAGAAAAAGAGCAACAGAGGAACAAAAAAGAGACATATGGAAAACAAAAAGTGAATGACACATGAAACTCCAACTATATCAAGAATAACATTAAGTTTAAATGGGTTAAACAATCCAATTGAAAGGTAGAGATTGTCAGATTGGATAAAACACACAAACAAACAAACACAAGATCCAACTATATACTGTCTACAGAAGACACACTTTAGATTCAAAGATATAATTAGATCAAAAGTAAAAGAATGAAAATGTATATGTTGTGCAAATAGCAACCACAAGAAAGCTGGAATAGCTATCCTAAGACAAATATACCTTAAAACAAACAAAAAGTTACTAGAGATAAAGAGCAATATTTCATAATGATAAAAGGGTCAATCCATCAGGAAGATATAAAACCAGAAATATATACATACATAACAAATGTGCACCAAAATACATGAAGCAAAAAGTGATAAAAATTAGGAGAGAGATAATTCAACAATAATAATAATTATTAAATAATTGTTTATTAATTTACTTAATAAATAATAAATAATACTTCACTTTCAATAATGGATAGAACAACTAGGCAGGTCAACAAGGAAACAGAACACTTGAACAACACAACGAACAAATTAGACCTGACAGACATCTATAGAATGCACTACCCAACAGCAGTAGAGCATACATCATCCTTAAGTGCACATGGAAATATACTTTTCCAGGACAGACTATATGCTAGGTCATAAAATATACCTCAATACATTTAAAAAATGTTTTTATTTAAATTCAATTAATTAACATATAATGTATTACTAGTTTCAGAGGTAGAGTTTAGAGATTCATCAGTTGCATGTAACACCCAGTGCTCATTACATCAAGTGCCCTTCTTAATGTCCATCACCCTGTTACCTCATCCCCCACCCAACTCCCCTCCAGCAACCCTCAGTTTGTTTCCTATAGTTAAGAGTCTCTTATGGTTTGCCTCCCTCTCTGTTTTTATCTTATTTTATTTTTCCTTCCCTTCCCCTATGTTCATCTGTTTTGTTTCTTAAATTCCACATATGAGTGAAATCATATGGTAGTTGTATTTCTCTGACTGACTTATTTTGCTTAGCATAATACCCTCTAGTTCCATCCACATCGTTACAAATGGCAAGATTTCATTCTTTTTGATGGCTGAATAATATTCCTGTGTGTGTGTATCACATCTTTTTATCCATTCATCTGTAGATGGACATCTGAGCCAATACATTTTAAAGGATAGAAATAGTAAGAAGAATGTTTTCTGACATAATGGAATGAAATTATAACTAACAATATAAATTTTTTTTTTAAAGATTTTATTTATTTATTTAACACAGAGAGAGAGAGAGAGAGACAGCGAGAGAGGGAACACAAGCAGGGGGAGTGGGAGAGGGAGAAGCAGGCTTCCTGCTGAGCAGGGAGCCCGATGTGGGACTCGATCCCAGGACCCTGGGATCATGACCTGAGCCGAAGGCAGACGCTTAACGACTG